CACCGCCCGCTGCTGCCAGCTGCCTGCCCAGTGGGGTGTGGGGCTGGGCTTCAGCGTAGGGCTGGCTCTGCCGTCCACGCGGACCTGCCAGTAGAAGTCCACCTCACCTCCCTTTCTCTCTCCCCCTCTCTCCCTCCCCGGCCTCTGCAGTGAACAGGTTGAGGGTGAGTATCAGCTATTTCTCTCTCTTTACTTCTACCTCTAGACGGAAAAGTCTCCGCTGGGGAGGGGGGTCACCATGGATGCCATGTGTCCTTTGGGAACCCTGGGCCTGAAAGTCCCAGATCTGCTATGTGGTGGGCTTCAGAGCAACCCCTCTGGAAGTGGCCCTGCATTCCGGCCTTCCCCGGCCTCTAAGAGGTGGTCACATCTCAACCTGTTCCACCTACTGGGGAGCCTGTTGGGGGCTGTATGGCCCTGAGGACCTCAAGGGTCTGGTCTCATTCCACTGCCAGACAGGCTTCTTTGGTCCTGAGGACCCCTGACCCTCATCCCTGGCCAGCAGAAGCTGCTGGACCTCAGGGTCCGGGCAGCTGGCCCCTGCTAACATGGCTCCTCTCTTTTGTTCTATTCCAATGCAGAGCAGTACGAGGAGGAAGGTAACTAACTCAGGCAGCCCTCGAGGCCCTCAGCCCACCCCAGACCTTCCTCTTAACAGAGCCCTCTCCACCTGGACCTTGGGTCCTCCTCAGCTCATCCATTAACTGTCCATCTTCCTCACCATTAACCATTAGCATTAATCATTAACTTGTTTAATGATTAATGTGTCACCTAGTTAATGGTTAATGACTTCATCATTAATCAAGTCATCATTAACTTCCCATCACTCCAATCCATTAACGGACACTCATTAATTGCTCACGAATGCCTTGTGGTTGTCTGTGCCCAGTGTGTGGAGTTTCATCTGATCATTAAAACTCTCACCCGTGAATATCAGGGCCGGGGCGCACAGCTGCCATCTCTCAGCTCCTCCCCGTGTCTCTGTCTGTCCCTGTCTCTCCCGGTCTCTGTCTATCTCTCAGTCTCTCTCTGTCCTCTTGTTTCTGACTCCCTGTCTCTGTGTCTCTGTGTCTCTCAGCATCTGTCCCTGTCTCTCAATCTCTCTCTGTCTCCTTGTCTCTGTCTCTCAGCATCTCTCCATACCACCCCCCACCCCTGCACCCTGGGGCGCACTCAGAGCACCTCCCTGGATCTGTCGAGCCCGGGCAGGCGTGGGCGGGTGGGGATCACTGGGCGCGGGCGCACCTGGGAGCGCTGGGCCGTGGCAGTTCCCAGGCGCGGCGGGCGCTGCTCAGGATCCTGGCTCCCACTCAACGGGGGGCGGCTTCCACTGCAGCTTTAGCCGGCGAGGTCTTCTGGGTGTTATGTTTCGAAAATATTTTGAAAACATTCGCTACCTTAACAACGTCAGCAAAATGTTTCTTTTTCTGCCGAAAAGGTGGCAAGGCTCCTTTCTGAGTGGGAAAGAGGCCCTGGGCGCTGGCCGTCCCCTGGGGATGCCACAGAAGGGTCTCAGGCCGCGCTTGCCTCCAGGCACCCCCGAGACAGGGACCTTCCCTGTCAAACAGGCCACACACCCAAGCTTCCTCAAGGCACAGAGGTCACGAACCCCAGGACCCTCTGTCTCCTGCAAAGCCCGACACAGGCAGGGCCTCTGCATGCACCACGGCTCCCGGGACACACAACGGCCAGGTCCGAGTGGGGAGTGCAGGGGTGTGACTGCCCCTGCAGGGAGGCCCAGGCCCAGGCCCAGCCAGGCTGGGCACTGTGCAGGCTGAGTGTGCCTGAATGTCTTGGGAGGCCCCTGTGGACTCCCCACACAGGCCACCTCCTGTCCCCCCCGCCACATCCCTCTAATGACGGTCCTGTTCCTTCCCTGCTCGCTCCTGCTCTCGGCTTCTCTCACCTCAGAAGAGGCCCAGGAGGAGGAAGGTGAGTGGGTCCAGGGCCCAGCCCCGGCCAGCTCCAGGCGTCCTGCCCACTGTCCTCACCCTCACAGTGGCCCTGGTGTGCTTGTCTCCCCGCGGGGTCCGACCCTGGCCCCCGTCTCTAAGGACTCGGGGACCTCCTGTCTAATCCTGTCCTCTCTCCTCCCTGCCACCCTGCACGCCCTGGCACCCCCCCGCAGCAGAAGTCCAGGAGGAAGGTAGGAGCACGTGGACTTCTGGTCCCCATGTGGGGCCCGGGGCCTGGCTGGAGCCCAGGGGGTGGGGAGAAGGGGAGGCAATGAGGCGCCAGCCAGCCAAGGGGCCCCACATGTGGCCCCCAGTAGTAACCCACTAACCAAGGCCGATGCTTGACAGAGAGGGTGCAGGACCCCAGTGGGCCCCAGAGGCGGCCAAGGCCCCCCGAGTCCCTGCTGTTGGGGACCATGCGCCGCTCAGCTGGGAGCAGCTGGTGTGAGGATCGGGGGAGATGGGGCCAGGGAACTGAGAGTCCCCATGGTGGCAGCCTCTGACCCCGCAGCCAGACCAGGACATGAAGCCACACCTCAGGATAGCTCAAGTGTCGGGAGAGGCCCTGCGGCCTGGCGATGCCTTCATCCCAGCCTTTCTTGGGGTCTGGGCCAGGCAGGGCAGCAAAGGAGGTCTGCATCTGGCTGTTAGGACGGCAGTAGACGGGGCATCCCAGGTGTGCACCTGTCCCTGGGGCCTGCGTCCCTGGGCTACAGCCCCTTCGCAGGTCCCTGGAGCCACTACCAGGTTGCAGGCCTGGACACTCTAGGGGTGGTAGGGAAAGAAGGGGGAGCCCAGCACGGCAGCTCCCTGGGACAGACAGCAGGGAGTGACCAGGACAAGACACGGCCTGCGTCCCCAACCCCCCTGCCTCCATTTCCCTGATTCTGAGACAGGTCAGGCTGAGGGTGGGCTGAGGCTTTCCTGCCTCTCCTGCTCCCGAGTGGGCCACAGGAGTTGGGGGAAGCAGGGCTGGGGGACAGCACCCCGGCTAACTCTAATCCATGTCTTGCTCACCCTGCACGTCCCCTCCCCGTGGCCTTGGTGACGGGCTGTTTCCACTTACCCTCGGACCCCTCTCCTTTGGCTCTGACCCGCGGTTTGCCTCTTGCTCTGTGGCCTCCTTAGCCCCTGAAGTTCATGAACCAGGTATGTGACATGACTTCAGAGCCGCATGGCCGATGTGAGTGTGTGCAGGAGCAGGGCCAGAGGGACAAGAGGCTGCCGGCCCCGCACCCGGTCACCCGGTCCTGTGGTTGGCGGCTCTGCCCCCCCACCCCACCCCGCCCCTCCACTCACGGTGTCTCTCCTCTTTCTCTCCCCAACCTGGTGCTGCCTGACGCTGCTTCCAGAGGAAGTCCAGGAAGGTAGGCCTCGCACTGCAGTCAACCAGAGCTGCCACCTCCTCCTCTGTCCCCTGGCCCCCTGTGTCCCACCACACTTCCAAGTCCCCCACCTTGGACTGAGCCTCAGGCCTCTAACTGAAGTCCGACTCAGGTGGGACTAGAGACAGGTGAAGCTCCCCCTGTCAATCTGGCAGAGGGTTCAGGGGCAGGGACGGTGAAGCAGATCTTGGGAGGATGGTGCTGGGGTCCACTGGGACCCTCTGGACTCATCAGGTGGAATAGAGAAGAGCAGAGAGGAGGGGTAGGGTGCGTGGCCTCCGCCCTGCCACAGATAGGAAGCCAGCGAAGTCAAGTAAGGAGGCGGTGAGGTGGCAGGGAGGGTGGAAGGGCAAGTGGGGTGAAGCAGAACAGCAGGCTGAGGCCCAAGGTGGGGACGTCAGGGAGCTGGAACAGCCGGGGGCCGTGCATGCAAATGAGCCGTCAGTCAGGTCCCAGCATCCCACCCTCGCCTGGGCCAGGGCCAGACACACCCGGGCAGAGGCAGGCGAGAGGGGACCTGGGGGCCTGCCCTGCTGCAGCAGGCTGGTGTGCTGGGCGGAGCCGCAGACCCAGGTCAGGACGCTGCTGGGGAGCTTCTCGGTGGGCCGCGGGGCCTTCCCGCTGGGCCGGGGACCCCCACTCCAGCCCTGCCTGCCCAGAGAGGTCACCCAGACATGGAAGGAGAGGGACGGGGGGGTGGACTCCCAGGCCACGCAGGAAAATGGTGTCCAGGAGCCAGTCTAGTGGGCGACAAGGTCACCAGGCCATCCTGGGACCGGCCCTGAGGCCCAGGATGGACACACAGGAGGGAGGGAGTCGGGGGGGGGCAGGCAGGCAGTGCCACACAGGAAGCTTTGCCGCTGGCCACGTGGCCGCCCTGCGGCTCTTGCTCCTACCCTGCCCTGGGCCCCAGACCCTGCACAGGGCCTCACAGGAGACTCCACGTGCATCCGGGCATCGGGAAAGGGCGGCGCGAGGCCCACCTGCCAGTCAAGGCCACACTGCAGGATCCACCACCTGCGTTGTCCCCGAGCAACTGCACGGTCATGAGCCGGAGCACACGCTGCAGACCCCACCAAGCACAGGCGCTGTCCAGGGTCAGCGGGCAGACCCCCACCTGCCTCAGATGGGGACGGCTGCTGGCCCCAGATGCCCTCTCAGCAGGTCCTGCTCGGCCTGGCAGAGGCAGGGCAGGGTCTGCAGATCAGCTGCAGACCCCTGCGTACCAGGCCAGGCCTGGCCAGCACTCCCCAGGCTGGGCCCAGGGGTCGACACCCGCCAAGGAAGCGGCCCCCACTAGCTGGGGGTGGCTACTCGTCGAGGCTCAGGGGCCCTGGCCTGGGGGACAGGCCATCTTCTCGAGGCAGAACCTAGAGGTAGCTCAGGGAGAGGAAGGCGTGGGTGTCCCAGAGAGGCCGACCCAGGGGAGAAGCACGGCTCCCCTGGGCCAGGAGGCCGCTGCCCTGGGTGAGAGAGCCCTCGGGGCACGGTGGGGGCTGCGGAGGATCTTGACCTGGGGTGGCCAGGACTGCAGGGTTAGGGGTGGACAACAGGAGAGGCTTGCACCCTCCTAGGCTCAGAGTCAGCGTGAGGGTTCCTTGACCCACTGGCATTCAGCCCAGCAAAACTGACCTTGCGGACAGAGGGCCTCTGGAACTGCCCAGGGTCAAAAGGCTGTGCCCAGCCCAGCCCAGACTGAGAGGATAGGAGAGCAGGGCCCACTGAGTGGGGTCCCTGGGCCTCCCGGCACCCTTTCCAGGAAGGGTCTCCACCGCACCCAGCTCTCTCCGTGCCCTGGAGAGCGATGCTCGGGCTGCAGCTGGGGTGCCCATGGGGAGCCTGGGCACAGCCCGCCCCCTCCGGCTGCCCTGCTGGCGCCGCACCAGCGTCCTGGCTTTTCTCTTGCATGTGCGCTTAGCCGATCCACGGAGTCGCCACAGAGGAGCGCCCCCCTGACCAGGTCCTGGGGACCCTGGCCCTCTGGCTCTGCGGTCCTCCTCCCCGCCTGTCTACCTGTCCGCCTGTGCTCTTGGCACCACACGCCTAGGCCCTTAGCCAAGGGCCTCTCTGCTTGGCACAGTGTCCGCCGTGGGGCTTGGGTGCCGGGTGAGCTTCTGCCTGCCGAGGTGGGCAGTCGGTGGGACCAGCGCAGACCAGCCGCTCCCAGGCTCCTCCAGGCCCCCACCTGTCTGGGCCTCTTCCCTCCCTGGCCTCTGACCTTTGGCAGCAGGTCCTCCCTCTCTCTTCACCCTGCACTTCAGCCCTTCTCAGAGCCCCAGGGACCCCGAGTGGGGGGCCGAGGGGTGGGCTCAGCTGGAGAGGCAGGTGGCCCCCACAGGCCAGAGCAAAGGAAGACCCCACCTTGGTGGTCCCTGTCGGCAGGAGGCAGCCACCCCTCTCACCGGGTCTCTCTTTCTCCCCCTCTCCCCACACTGGTGCCGTGGTGACCAGAGAAGAAGCCAAGACCCCAGTGAGTATGGCGTCCGCTGGGCTGGGGTGGTCAGTGGTTATGGCCCCGGGTGGGAGGCCTGGGTCTGCCCTAGAGGAAAGGTCCAAGTGCTCAAACCACAGGGACCGATGTCGCCCAGGAGACAGACAGGAAGCACAGGAGGGTGTGACGCTGCAGGCCCCGGGGGCTGCCTGCAGGAGGAGGCCCCAGCCGAGGGAAGAAAGGCAAAACGGAGCTCAGGCTGCCCCCCAGCCTTGCTGTGCCCAGCTCTGCTGGGGGGTCTCCCAGGGCCCCAGATGGGAAAACAGACATGGAGTGCGTGTGGTGGGATGTGGAAGGAAGGGCTTCGCCACATCAGATGGACCCTGTCCACACCAGCTTGCTGCCTGGGCACTCTTACGCAGGCCTCCTGGGAACCCTGCTTTCAGGGAGGGTCTTGCCCTCCTTTCAGGAGATTTAAAAAAAATCCAACCCTGACTTCCTGGCTTTGGTGGGACGCACAAGCCCTCGGCCCTTCTGCAGAGCCTCTCCTGCCCCCCAGCAGCCTGCCTGCCCCCCACTCTGCCCCCCCAGCAGCCTGCCTGCCCCCCACTCTGCCCCCCCAGCAGCCTGCCTGCCCCCCCACTCTGCACCCCCCAGCAGCCTGCCTGCCCCTCCCCCTCACTCTGCACCCCCCAGCAGCCTGCCTGCCCCTCACTCTGCCCCCCAGCAGCCTGCCTGCCCCTCACTCTGCCCCCCCAGCAGCCTGCCTGCCCCCCACTCTGCCCCCCCCAGCAGCCTGCCTGCCCCCCACTCTGCCCCCCCAGCAGCCTGCCTGCCCCCCACTCTGCCCCCCCAGCAGCCTGCCTGCCCCCCACTCTGCGCCCCCAGCAGCCTGCCTGCCCCTCACTCTGCCCCCCCAGCAGCCTGCCTGCCCCTCACTCTGCCCGAGGTGGGACTCAGGTTTGCTCCCGGGGGTGGGGGTGGGGTCTCTGCAGAGTCGCAGGAAGGTGAAGATGCAGGAAGGGTTTGGCCAGCTATTCACGGCCTTTGCACTTTATTTTTTTGGCAATTTTAAATAAATTGATGCCAGAGCACAAGATATTTTCTCATTTTAGAAAATATTGTTTGTGTTTTCATTATGAAAACAAAACACCTTATTAAAGGAAATTTGGAAAATACATAAAAGTCAAACGAAGAAGAAGAAATTCATCCATCATTCTCCCACCCACCCACCAGCCCGCCAGACTGTGGAAAGGAACAGAAAGAAATAAAAATACTTATTTCTTCCTACTCTTTTTCCATGCAAAGGGCTCGGAAAAAAAGACCTCAACTCTAGCTGTTTTTCAAACATCAGACTGTCTATACAGCCTTGAATTCTGCTTTTTTAAAATTTAGCACTATTCATAAGTATTTTTCCATATTTTTATATAGTCTTCTTAAATATTTTGAATGGCCACGTAATATTCCATCGATTGGACAAACGGTGGTTTTCCTGCCCATGCCCTGCTGCAGGCTCCCCAAGTTCTTCGCTATCATTAGTGACGCCGGGTGGAAGCGTTTTCCGTCTTCAGGGCTATTTCCCTAGGCCACATTCCCAGAACTAGAATTACTGGGTCAAAGAGTATGAGCGTTCTTAAGACTGCCATGTCCCTTGCCAAATTGCTCTCCACGAGGGCTTGGCCAAGCGGGCCTCCTACGTGGGATGTGAGCCGTTCTGTGTCCCACACCCTCCTCACCCGAGGCAGAGGCTGCCTCCGCGCTAGCCCTTGATGGATGGCAAACGGCATCCCACGGTTGTTTTCCTTTGCATTCCTCCGATGGTGCGAGGGCCAGCCTTTCCCCGTTTGTGAACGGGTTGTCTTTCTTCTCGGAGAGGCAGTACTTTGTGCCCTGTGCTCATTTATCTCACAGTGGACACGTCTCTATGTTTTCTCAATCATCAGTTTGCATAAGGATATAAGTCTTCTCTGTATTTGCTGAAAATATTTTCTTAGTCTGTGCTTTTCCCCTGGCTCCCGAGTTTGCCTTCTTGCACATACATAAGTTTCTCATTTGCATGGGGCCATCTGCACATCTCTCCCTTGGAGGGAACTTCTGATGCTTCCAAGCTCAGAAAATCCCTTCCCACTCCAGCGTTTGATCGACACCCCGCTCCACTTTCCTCTGTGGTGGTTTTAAAAAGCCCTTGTCTCAACTCTCCGCTCCATCTGGAACATATTGGTGGGAGGAGGGGGCTGCACGGCCGGTGGACCGGGGGCTCCTTCCTCCTAGAATGCCTCTTTCCCTCCCTGGGCCCCAGAAAGAGAGATTAAAGAGTGGCCAGAAAAGCGGGCAGGGTCTCCACGGCCGGTCCCGACCACAGAGGCAAACGCCACCCTTGTTCCCCGAGGGCGGCGGGGGCCACCGTGCCCCCTTGGTTTGAGACAGAAGCTGAGGTGCCTTTCCTGCAGAGACGGAGAAACAGGCAGCAGAACCCGGGGGCTGGGGTGGTTGAGGCCTCCTCCAGGGGGCAGGCCCTGGGCGTGAGGGTCATGAGTCTGATGAGAACAAAGCTCAGGTGAATGCACAGTCAGGCGCAGTGACCTCAACAGGGCACCAGGCCAGGGCCAGGGGGACTGGGGCACCAGGGCAGGACAGCCCCCTTGGGTGGGCATCTCGGTATCCTCTCACCAGCCTCTCTCTCTTCCTCAGACTCACTGCTCCTAAGATCCCGGAAGGGGAGAAAGTAGACTTTGATGTAAGTGTATGGGACTCAAATCAGAGCGCCCCAAGTCTACCACTGAGCGCCAGGTGGGCCTCTGCCCCCTCCTCTCAAGTAGCAGAGCCAGGGCTTCATAAGCCAGCCCTGGACCACACTCCTAGAGTATGCACCTCTCCCTTCTCCCCACCCATCCTTCTCTCTCTCCACTCGTCATCCATCCACCCACCCTCCATCCTTCCACCTGCCCACGCTTCCTTCCACCCACCCTCCACCCATCCTTCCATCTACACACCCTTCCTTCCACCCACCCTCCACCCTTCCATCTACCTACCCTTCCTTCCACCCATCCACCCTCCATCCTTCCATCTACCCACCCTTCCTTCCACCCACCCTCCATCCTTCCATCTACCTACCCTTCCTTCCACCCATCCACCCTCCATCCTTCCGCCCACCCTCCACCCATCCTTTCTTCTACCCTCAGTCCAGCTCTTTCCATCATCCATCTTCCTTCCTTCCATTGATCTATCCATCCATCATTATCTGCCTATTCATGAGTCTACCCACCCACTGCCTGCTCACTGATCCCACTGTCCACCCACTGTGCATCCACCCACTGCTCCATCGTCATCCGTCCATCTCTCCAACCCCCGTCCCGCTCACCCACCCATTACCTCCTTCCTTCCATCTACACACTCATTCATCTGTTCACACAACAAGTGTGCACAGCTCACTCTCTCCCCCAGGCTCAGCCCCTGAAGGGCATCTCTGAGCATGATGACAGGGTCAGTCCACCCTAGGGATGCTACTGACCTCATGGTACAGCCATGCCTGGGTCACCTCCAAGAAGGGCATCATCCAACCCTGAGGCTTGGGGATCAGGCCACCCACGGCCCCAAGAGGGCAGCAAGAAAGACAGTTGCCCTGGTGGCCCGAGCAGGCAGGGCTTTTTTGGGGCACAGGTGCCACTTTCCCCAGGGAGAGGCCAGGCCGGGCGGAGGGGTGGAAGCGACAGGCCTCTCTGCCCACAGGACATCCAGAAGAAGCGCCAGAACAAGGACCTCATGGAGCTGCAGGCCCTCATCGACAGCCACTTCGAAGCCCGGAAGAAAGAGGAGGAGGAGCTGATTGCCCTCAAAGAGAGGATCGTGAGTGTGGCCATGGGTGGAGGCCGCCGGGCGCACTTGGAGGGTGCCGGTGGCAAGGCTGGACTGACCTGCCTCCTGGCCACAGGAGAAGCGCCGGGCGGAGAGGGCCGAGCAGCAGAGGATCCGGGCAGAGAAGGAGCGTGAGCGCCAGAACCGCCTGGCGGTGAGTGGGGTGTCCGGCCCCGGGCCTTTCCCCAGTGGCCAAGCTGTGGGGGCCAGCGGTCAGAGCCAGGAGTCAAAGCCCTGCCCCCCGAAACACTGACCCTGGAGATTCCTCCCGGCAACCTCTGCGTCCACAGGGTGGGGGGCGGTCTGCCCCTGCCCCTGAGGGTCTGGGGGTGTGGTCTCCACAGGAGGAGAAGGCCCGCAGGGAGGAGGAGGACGCCAAGAGGAGGGCCGAGGACGACCTGAAGAAGAAGAAGGCCCTGTCCTCCATGGGGGCCAACTACAGCAGCTACCTGGCCAAGGTAGGCGGGCGGGGCCAGGAGGGGCCTGGGGCCTGGCTGGTGCCCGGGCCCCTCCTGAGACCCCACGTCCCCTTCAGGCCGACCAGAAGAGAGGCAAGAAGCAGACGGCCCGGGAGATGAAGAAGAAGATCCTGGCCGAGAGACGCAAGCCCCTCAACATCGACCACCTCGGCGACGACAAGCTGAGGTGGCAGCCCGTCGGGGGGCCAGGCGGCCTTGTCCCTTCCCGGGGCTGAGGAGGGTGCAGGAGGGGAGGCCCCGGCTCTCAGGCCGGCCCACCTGTGCCGTCCTTTCCCCCTCAGGGACAAGGCTAAGGAGCTCTGGGAAACCCTGTACCAACTCGAGACTGACAAGTTTGAGTTTGGGGAGAAGCTGAAACGCCAGAAATACGACGTGAGTCCAGGCACCGCCAGCCGGGGGCCGCTGGGTCCCACCCCCTGCGCCCCGCGGGGACTGTTGCTTGAGGCCACCTTCTGGGGCAGCCACTTGGCCACCCGCGGCATCGGCCAGACCCCCTGGGTACATTGGCAACCCTGCCTGAGGGCCAGCATGAGTTTAGGCCACAGGGGCCCTGAGTTGTCCTCAGAGCAGGCCGAGGGGGTGGCACATGCACAGCTCTGGACGGTGGCTCCTGGGGCACCGGCTGCCTGGAGTTGTGTGCAGGGCTCGAGACCTTGAGCGACCTTCGCTCACAGACCCCGGCCCGAAGGCAAAGCTGGAGTCAGAGGCGGGCTGCCTGGGGTGGGGCATCGAAGGCTCGGGGAGGCCCAGCTCTGGCCCACGCACAGAGGCCCAGGTGGCCCAGGGAGGGCTCCAGTCCTGGGTGACGAATGTGCCCTGGGACCTCACAGATACCTTGAGCTTCCCCCTCAAGGTGAGGTCACCCACCTGAACGCCCCCGCAGCACCCCTCGGGTGAAGGACACGCGCAGGGGTATCTCCCGTGACCAGCCCCGGCTCCCCGGGAACCCTGGGCAGGCCTCTCCTGGGCCTCCACGTCCTCCCGGTGCCCGCCCTGAGTGGTTCCCAGGAGAAGCTGCATCCCTCACCCTCCAGGCTCCCCTGGGGCTGGCCCACACAGAGCCCGGCCAGCTCCCCTGTGTCCACCATGCAGTCAGGTGTGGTGGCCTCCACACACACACTGCCCACATCAGGGCCCAGGGGCTCAGAACCTCAAGGGCCTTGTCCAGACTAGCCCAGCGCACGGCGGGGCCTTGAAGCCTCAGCCACCCACCCAGCCCTGTAACCATCTCGGTCTTTCTAGATCATGACCCTCCGGGCCAGAGTGGAGATGCTGGCCAAGTTGTGAGTAGCCAGAATCCGCTGCGGGCCCGGCTCGCGTGTGCAGTGCACGGTGCTCCTCTCGCATGGCAAAGGCCAGGTCACGGAGTCGGGCAGGCAGGCTGGCCCTCCATGGCCTTGGTACTCTCCTTCCTGCCCCTGTCCCCTCCTGCCTCCAGACGTGGCCTTGAGGCTGGCCTGCTGCCCTTGTTGGCAGGAGAGGAGGGGCCTCTGCTTCCCAGGAGCTTGGGAACCAGGTGCCTTGGCCACCAAGCTGGGAGCAGGGGTGGGGCCAGGAGCAGGAGGGTCGCAGTCAGGGGCCGGGGGCTGGAAGGAGGGTCTGCGGGCCTCACCTCCACCCTGCCCCATGGCCTGCTGCAGTGGGAAGGTAAGTGGCCAGCTCTGCAGCTGCTGTGTGTGGCATCGCAGGCCAGTACAGGCCAGCCAGATGAGTCGGGTCAGCAACCCGAGGGCAAGGGACAGCGCCCTCCCGAAGCAGCCATGAACAGGAGCCAGCACGGAGCCACCGCTCTGCTGCTGTGGCTGGGCCCCCGGGTCCCCCTCGCGGTAAGTCGCCTGTGTTGTTTGCAGATCACCACCCTCAGGAGCCGCATCGACCAGGCCCAGAAGCAGTGAGTAGCCTGGCCCACCTTGCTCTGCCCTGGGCACAGGGGCCACAGGGCCTGCTGCCACTGTCCATGCAGGCCCGGCGTTTTAGCCAGCCCCTGAGCAAGGGCCAGTAGTGGCCAGCCCTCAGCAGAGCAGTAACACAACTAACCAGGCAGAGCCCCCACCAGCATGTCCAGGTCCTGTGCCCTGGGGCCTGTGGACCCTCCTCACCTGCTCACAGGAGGGGGTGCCAGAGAGGGTTTGCAAGTGATGCCCTCAGGTGCCCAGCACTGGCCAGCAAGCAGAGGGCTGCAGGAGGCCCCCAGCATGGGGAGGCTCTCAGGGGCCTTCAGATGGCCTTGCATGGCCAGCCTGGACACCCAGAGTGTCACCCTCCAAGGTGACCTGGGGTGGGGAGTTCAGAGGCTGACCTGGGGGGGCGACACGGCCCCTCTGCAACCATCGGTTCCTCAGAAAGTGCCCTTGGGCCATGGAATCGTGCCCCACGGGGTGCGGGGACCCAGGGCAACACTTCTCCCCGCCCCCCAGGCTGAGCGCTGGTGCCAGTGACATGCCACTGGGGGTCTGGTCACTGAGGCTGGCTGCAGGCTGTCCCTCCCCGAGAGCCTGGTGGAGCTCCTGCCTCCCAGGGCTTCCTCCCTCTTTCCAGAGGCCCTTCTGCTCCCAGAGACGGTCCCCCCTCCAGGGAGGGTCTCGGTTCTGTGGGCCAGGACTGTCATGGGTGTGCATGTGCACGTGTGTGTGTTCACGCGTGTGTGCTCAGGAATGGTCCTGTCGTGCCAGCCTCTGGGGCTGAAGCCCTCTGTCTTCCGCCTGCCTTGGCCCCACTCAGCACCTCCTGGCTCTTGGGTGCACAAAGGTCCTCAAACCCTCAGAAGAGGGGACAGGCTCCTGGGGATGGCCACACTTGTCTGACACCCAGAGTGGCACAGACTGTGTGGGGAAGAGAGTAGTCGTCTGCCAAGACAGTCTCCACCCACTGGGGTCCGTCTGCAGCAACCCCAGGCAGGGAAGGGAAGACACAGGGTGGTCCTGCCCCGTGCCCACCCCTGCTAACCGCACTAAGCCCTAAGCCCCAGGCCCCTGGCCAGGCCAGCACAGGTGAGTCAGTGCTGTGCAGAGGGGAAGAAGTGTGGGGGGGGGGTTGTGAGGCTTGGCCAGGACCTCGTCCTGTGGGCAGCATTTGGGAGGCCAGGGCTAGAGGTCCACACTGGGGAGGCCAGGGCTGCAAGCCAGGGAGGGGCTCTGCCTCTCAAGGCTGCCCTCCCTGCCGGGCTGATGCTCAGACTCAAGAACAACTTGCTTCCCATCTGCAGCAGCAAGAAGGCCGGGGCCACCGCCAAGGGCAAAGTCGGCGGGCGCTGGAAGTAAGGGGCCAGGAGGTCCCCGCGGCAGAGACCCGGCCCCGCTCACTCCAGCACCATCGCCCCAACACTCGTGCCCAGGCTGCTTCTGGGGTTCCGGGACGACGCCGGGGGTGGAGGGCCCCACTGGAGCACCCCCTTGTCTCTGCCGTCCCAGTCCCCCCCCTCTGGGGTCTGTGAATAAAGCCAGCAGACCCCCCTCCAGCAGATGTGTCTGTCGTTCATGGGGGGCCTGGGGTGAGAGAGAGCCTCCCAGTGGAGCGGCTCCCGAGAGTGTGGGCTCGAGGCTCCCCGTGGGCACCAGCTCCCGAGAGCGTGGGGCACATCATGCCCACTAACAGCAACCGTGGCCATGCTGGGTGCTGGGCCCAGAGCGCCTCCAGGACTCTGTCATTGCCTCCTCTCACCAAGGGCTTGTCACCCCTAAGATGCCCCCTCTGTCCCCTATCCCAAGGCTTTCCATGTCATACACAGGCTGCGCCCCCAGAGAGCCCCCTTCACCTGGGCCTGCTCTGAAACCCATCTGAGTCAGAATAACTCTGCTTTAGGAGGGTCAGGTAGGGCAGCCAGCCAACTGGGAGGCTGCAGACACCCCCGAGGGTGGGGTGAGACCCCAGCTCTTCTCTGCAGAGCTCAGCACATCAAGGCAAAAGAGGAATGCGGAGAGGCACGTTTCCAGCAAGAGAGCAAATATGGCAAACACACAGGGTTCCTCTATATTATAAGAGAACACAGTGCACAACTGTGCCATAAATTTGAAAGTCCTGACCAAATAGAATTATGGAAAATATAAATCACAGAAATTGGATCAAGACGCGGAGCCTCGGACAGCCAGGTATTCATGCAGGAAGGTATTTGTCCAGAAGGGCCTCTCCAGAGGGCTCCAGGGGCGGGTCTGTGGGCTGCAGCAGCACAGGGGCTGGACCCCAGGGACAGAGGAGCCCCTCAGCTCGAGCACACATGTGCACACCCAACACGTACAGCTACGTGACCCTCTGTGTGCACCAACACACACACACACACACACACACACAGAGCAACGTGGCCCCTCTGTGTGCACCAACACACACATGCAGACACACTCACAGAGAACAATGTGGCTCCATCTGTGTGCACCAACACACACACACACAGACACACAGAGCAACATGGCCCCTCTGTGTGCACCAACACACATACACACACACACAGAGCAACGTGTCTCCCTCTGTGCGCACCAACACACACACACACACACAGAGAGCAATGTGGCTCCATTTGTGTGCACCAACACACACACACACACATACACAGCAACATGGCCCCTCTGTGTGCACCAACACACACACACACATACACAGAGAGCAATGTGGCTCCATCTGTGTGCACCAACACACACACACACACATACACAGCAACATGGCCCCTCTGTGTGCACCAACATACACACATGCAGACACACTCTCAATGTGGCTCCATCTGGGTGCACCAACACACACACACACACACACACACTCTCACAGAGCAACATGGCCCCCTCTGTGTGCACCAACACACACACACATAGAGAGAGCAACATGGCCCCATCTGTGTGCACCAACACACACACACACACAGACACACAGAGCAATGTGGCCCCATTTGTGTGCACCAACACACACACAGACACACAAAGCAATGTGGCCCCATCTGTGTGCAACAACACACACACACAGACAAACTTACAGAGCAACATGGCCCCCTCTGTGTGCACCAACACACACACATAGAGAGAGCAACATGGCCCCATCTGTGTGCACCAACACACACACACAGACACACAGAGCAACATGGCCCCATCTGTGTGCACCAACACACACTCACAGAGCAACGTGGCCCCTTCTGTGTGCACCAACACACACACAGACACACAGAGCAATGTGGCCCCATCTATGTGCACCAACACACACACACAGACACACAGAGCAATGTGGCCCCATCTGTGTGCACCAACACACACACAGACACACAGAGCAATGTGGCCCCATCTGTGTGCACCAACACACACACACACACAGACACACAGAGCAATGTGGCCCCATCTGTGTGCAACAACACACACTCACAGAGCAACGTGGCCCCATCTGTGTACACCCAACACACATACATACAGACACACTCACAGAGCAACATGGCCCCATCCGTGTGCACCAACACACACTCACAGAGCAACGTGGCCCCATCCGTGTGCACCAACACACACACAGACACACTCACAGAGCAACGTGGCCCCATCTGTGTGCACCAACACACACTCACAGAGCAACGTGGCCCCATCTGTGTACACCCAACACACACACACACAGACACACTCACAGAGCAACGTGGCCCCATCTGTGTGCACCAACACACACTTGCCACAGTCTGGCTGGGCACAAATGCCGCAGTCTGGCTGGGCACACAATCACGAGCCACCACACAGCTTGTAGATACAAACAGCAACTCTTTATTCCCGAACTCACACCAGCCGTCTACAATCACGTTCTGGGGAAATCCACGTTCTCTGCCCAAATCCACGTTCTCTGCCCAAATCACGTTCTCTGCCCAAATCCACGTTCTCTGCCCAAATTCACCTCCACTGGGCTTCTATCTCCAAAATATATTGTCTGAATCCCGTGAGAACTTAAGGGGAACTCAGGCAGCAGGATACGCCCTATTCCCAGCAGGAATAATCTTAAACCTTAAACCTGGAACCTAAACTGGGAACACCCTAAACACGATTATCTTAAAACCGGGAACACCCTAATCTGCCTTGGTCCTTGAGCAAGGTCACGTACATTCAATGTCACTGCAACATGGGGTACGCTGGCAAGGAAATTGTCATACCTACTTGGCTAATGGCTCCCAGCACACACTCACAGAGCAACATGGCCCCATCTATGTGCACCAACACACACTCACAGAGCAACATGGCCCCATCTGTGTGCACCAACACACACACAGACACACTCACAGAGCAACATGGCCCCATCTATGTGCACCAACATACACACATACACACACAGAGCAATGTGGCCCCCTCTGTGTGCACCAGCATACACACACACACACACACACAGACCCGCAGCCCTGTGTGTGCACACATTGAAGAAATATTTGCAGTGATGCTGCGGAAGCCTCGCCCAGCAGCAGCGTCAGAGCCATGGGGACCCCACGGCAGGGCCCTGCAGTGGGGACACGTGAGTTCAAGCTCGGGGCCTGTGTGAGCAGGCAGGGCACCTGGGGCGGGAGCAGCAGCCCCCAGATGTGGGGTGGTCTGGGAGGTGGGTCCTCCACCCAGCCTGGCCGGGCTCTCTGCTGAATGAAGCTGGTGGTGGGAGGTGCACAGGGCACCCAGGGAAGGCCAGGAGCCCGGCCAGGTGCGGTCGAGCAGAGAACCTCTGTCAACACCTCGACACACGCCACCAGCACAAGGGCCCGCGTGTGCCTGGCCCAGATGACGCGCACCACACAGCCCTCGTGGCACAGCCCCTCCACGTGGCATGTCCTCAAGCAACACCCAGGCCCTGGCCCACCCAGCCCTGCCCCCAGCAGGCCTCCACACAGTGGGTTCACGCGAGCTGAGAGTGACCA